GCTGTGCTGAGACAAAAATTTGGAATACCAGCACAATTTGTTAAAGAGGTTTTCCTTGCACCACTTCACTTTTCTTGCCCCCTTATCAAAGATTAGATGGTCGTATGCTTGGGGGGAGATGTCAGTATATTCAACCCTGCTCCATTGGTCTACAGCTCTGCCTTTGTTCCAGTACCATGCTGTTTTAATTATTACTGCTTTGTAGTAGAGTTTGAAGTTAGGGAGGTTGATTCCTCCCATTTTCTTTTTCCCAAGAATTGCTTTAGCTATTCGTGGGGGCTTATTGTTCCATATAAATTTCAGGAGTGTTTGCTCCATTTCTTTGAAGAATGTCATGGGTATCCTAATAGGGATCGCATTGAATTTGTACAGTGCTTCTATGCCTATGTAAAAATTGTTCACATACGTACATGCATCTATATGTATCCCAAATAAAAATGTGCTTTACAAAAATTGCACATCTACTCTTTCTGAAGCTAGTTTTTTCTCTCCATAGGATATGTCACACTGCATTTTGTGTTAATGCAGATACTCATTTTTCATGACTGCCTAGAATATTTAATGTTTTGTTAATTAATTAATTTTTTTTGTCCATATTTGACAGTGCTCAGGGCTTCATCCTGGCTCTGTGCTCAGAGATCACTCCTGGCTGGGATTGGGGAACTACATGTGGTCCTGGGAATTGAATCTGAATCAGCTCTGCTCAAGGCAAGTGCCTGACCCGCTGCACTAGCTCCCTTGATACTTTATTTAACCAATCCCTCACTTGACTAATCTGTCAATGACATCTACCTCATTTAGATTGTTTCTATTTTTTTTGTTGTTTTTGTTGCTGTTTCAAAACTGTAATAAAGCATCTTTATCATAAAAAAAATTTGGAATACCAGTCCAGCGCTGTTTGCTCTTTAAGAAATCATGATCCTTCAATGAACAGGCTGTTAGCAACTCTACAGCTTCTATATATCCATACATACTCATATTTCATACTCTTCTATCTTAATTAAAACCTTTAAAAAGAATCCTTGTATGAATAAACTCTCCTCAAATTGTCCTATGTTGATTGTAGTATTTTCTGTGTAATCTAATAGCTACACCAGCTCATTAACAATACAACCTTTCTCAGCACAGATCTTATAGAAATAAATAAAAATTGAACAAGGTAACACAACTTAACAAAGTTCCTGAAACATAACTAAAAAATGCCTATTGTTTACTCTTAGTAGAATATATGCTATGCCTTTTTTTCCCTCCTTAAGTACATTTCTTTAAGTGATTTTAATAGAAAACATAGTTACAGACTCAAAAAGCCAAAAGAATAGGAAATATGTCACTATATCACTGTATCACTGTCATCCCGTTGTTCATTGATTTGCTTGATCGGGCGCCAGTAATGTCTCCATTTGTCCCTGGCATGTGCTAGTATAGCCTGATGGCACATTGGGGGCTCTTTCAGGATCTTTCATCATTGTTACTGCTGTTATTTTTACTATATCTTTCCAGTAACAAGGAAAGATATAGTAACAACAACAACAACAAAAAAAAATTCAACAAAAAGAACATCTCACCAAGAATACCCATCTAGCTAGATTATTATTCAGATTTAAAGGAACTATACAGAGCTTCATGGGTAGGCAACAGCAAGGGGAATTCATAGCCTTGAAATCAGTTTTTCAAGAAACATTAAAAGGACAGGAGAAACTTCTCCTCATGTGGTATTAAATATGGCACTCACTAATGGTTTTCATTGGCTAGATTAAGAAAGATTAAAAACATATAGCAATTTACCCCAAATTGACTTTTTGTCATTTATTTTCAAATAATCCTATTTGCCACCCTTTTAAGTTGTTTGGACCAAGTAATATGAAATAAATTTATTAATATGCTAGCCCAGGGGGCAAAAATGTAAGAAGGCTCTTTTATGACAGGGAAGATATGATGATTACCACAATAACACTCAAATGCAACATAAAATTTAATGCAATGTATTGAAGCCAGACTTGAAAACTTAGTTATGTAAATTAGAATAGTCAGTATGCTGAACAGTATTAAATAATCTGAATTTCCTATTTACCTAGGTTAAAATCATATAGCAATTAATCACTACACATTGGCTTTTGTTGATTTATCTTCTGATAATTTCATTTACCACGTCATTAACTTTTTTTGGAGCAAGCAATATGAAATAACTGTCATATGCCTGCCAAGGCAGCAGGATGGGGGATAATAGGGGGTGCCCTGGGGACACTGATGGTGAAATCAGTGTTTTACCATTGTATGCCTGAAACAATTCTAATATGAGCAACTTTCTAAATCACGTTATATTAATTAAATGAATAAATATATATTTTGTAAGAGAAAGCATAGTTAAGGTCCATAATATTGGAAGAATCTTTGCAGTTACTCGAGTCATCCTACTGAACATTTACCAATTTTAATAGAGACAGAATGCATCATTTAATGTATACCTACCTCCTACCATAACTTCCCATGAATAAGAACTCATTTTTTTATGTATATTGTGGCTAACATCTGGTGCTTTGGATGGCTACTCTTGGATAAGTGATCAGGAGGCACCTCCTGTGATATTCAAGGGAGCATTTGGTGCTGGAGATTGAACCTAAGCCTCTGGTATGTAATCCATAAGCTTGGTCTATTGAGCTATCTCCTCAGCCCCCAAATGAGTACTATTAAGTAATGCCCTTATGAATTATATTTCCATATTATACTGTATCATAAGTAAGCATATGGCTTAAGAAAAAGATTCATGCTTCAGAGTTGATAAATATTTATATAATAAAATTCATTATATAACATATAGATATCATCTCCTGAGGCTGATAACTGTCAGTACTGTATACATTTACTACCATATAATGGATATTTTATATATGCAAGTGGAATTGACATATTTTAATTACACTGTCAAATGAACTTTCTATTGCATTATTTCAGCATAACTCTAGGATATTCCAAGTGGATCAAAAGTGAAAATCATCTAAATAGGGGGCCCACAACATGAGTCTAGGGGCATAACTTCTAGGACAGAGGCCATAGGAAAGAAACAAAGTTAGAGGGGACCATGATTGGTAAAAGGTTGAGAAGCACTCATTCAGAACACATAATTCTGCATCCTCTATTAAGTCAACCTCAATGTTAGAAAGAAACATAGGTGCAGATGAACACAATGATCCCTTTATCAAAAAACACAGAGAAAACTATAAGCTAGAAATAATTCCTAGTTCAAAGAGAGTGGCATGAGAACAACGTGACTGAATTAATTCAGCTTATATCAGCATCTTGGGAAGAATCAAATTGCAATATATCCAAAGGGGAAATAACATAGGTTTCTGCCAGTCATCTTCTGGTTTCTTGGCAAATAGATGTGGTTTTCTCTTATATGGACATTATAAGGCCCATTACTTTACACCTCCTTTCACATTTACTTAAGCATTAGTTTTGTTCTCCATTGCCAATTAGGAATAATCATTAAGTTCAATAAGTTAATAAAAGTATCCCTTTTTAATGTTTTCACATAGTATGAGCCTTCTCATGTCTCCACAAAACAGTTTAAAAGTTTAAAAATTTAATTTTATTTCCCTATTCTCATGGGGAAAAAAACTGAATTTGGAACAGGTCTCACCCAAAATAAGAACCCAGGGAAAATCTATGCTGAAAATCCAAATAAATGTCAGTCACCACTATTAAGACCACTGCCCCAGAAAATTAAATTTCAGTTTAAAAATAAATAAGATACTAACCACTGACTTGTCCACATGAATACCATAATTGTCAACACTAATATGCTTGCTTATGAGATAAGGTGGAGAGAGAGGGAAATTTGTACCATTGGTGGACAAACACTGACACTGATGGCAGATTTTGAGTTGGAATATCATGTGGCTGAAACTCTCTTATCAAAAAAGTTATAAATCTAAATAAAAAGATACATCAAAATATTTTGGGAAAATATCATGGGAAAGGTAGAAAAGCACAGAGTTTAGGAGGTCAAGATGAAAGGCAATACCCAGATTTTCTCTATCAATACAGTTGACCTGAATTTGTTCAAAATTACATTTATAAAATTGATGTAATTTTATAATCTTTCACCAATATAGTTTTTACTCTTGCTGCTTATTATTTTGTTAGTCAATTATTTTTCAGTGTGAGGGATTGAACCCATGACCTTACACATGAGAAACATATGATATATCACTGAGTTACATTCCAGGTCCCAAAGGCTTAAATGTTCTCAGGAGAATTTTGGGTGAGAAAAGAAATGACACAGTTATAGCACTTACCATATAGATTTATGTTACAAGATATTTTCGACTATGTCTAGAAATATGAGTTCAGCCAGGCTTGTATAAGACTATTATGATAAATTAAGTAGTAATGGTTTCCAAGTTCAGTTTTTTATCTCTCAGGAAAATGACACGTACAAGAGATAAATCTTTATCTTGTGTAGTTCTGGCAGAAGTTTTGGCATTTGGATTTATTTCAGCATGTAATGGGCCAAATCAACAGTTCACGGTTAGAATCCTAGAGCAGATATCTCTATCTTTGGCTTCCCATGACAATATGTCTGCTATCATGTAAGTGATGTTTAAGTTCACCCTTACTGTCCTCCTGTTGTTCATTGATTTGCTCGAGCAGGCCCAGTAACGTCTCCATTTTGAGACTTGTTGTTACTCTGTTTGGCATATTGAATACGTCACAGGTAGCTTGCCAGGCTTTGTCGTGCGGGCGAGATACTCTCGGTAGCTTGCCGGGCTCTCTGAGAGGGGCAGAGGAATCGAACCCGGCTTGACCGGGGTGGCTACACGCAAGGCAAACGCCCTACCACTGTGCTATCGCTCCAACCCTCAAGACAAAAATATAAAGAAATACAAGATGAATAAATAAACATAAGGTATGAAATAAAGTATTTCATAGATACTTAATTCCCCAAATTTACCATACCATATTCACTTGATGAAAATGACAGCTAAAAATCTGAGTGATTTTCAGATAGAATAATCTTTACTAGTTTATTAGAGGGCAGATAGAATATGATTATTTGAGTGCACATGATTCATGATTAATGTCTCTGCTTGATTAGGGTTTGTAGCACCCCAATCGCTCCTATCTGATTATTTAAAAAATACTAGGAATGGTAAATATGGTCCATGCAGGTATCTTTTGAATATTCTGATTTCTTCAAGTATGCAAGAGATTATGAAAGAGGAAATATAACATCAAGGTAATACAGAGGGATACTAGAGTATGTGTTTCAATCTTTTCTACTAGAAATCAAAATGGCATATAAACCTTAGTACATGTCTAAAAATTTGCCTTAGAAGATATTGAACTGCAAAGGGTTACTTGGATTAAATCCTTATGGATTTAATATATATCCATACACACCTTGTATTTAATCTCACTTGCATTGATTTCCTTTATAATTTTGTCATAAAATTAAATATCTACCTTTTATTAATTTGGGGGTTTGGTTGGGTTTTATTTTGGTTTGAGGGCAACAGCTGGTGATGCTCAGGGGTCACTCCTAGCTATATACAGGGATTATTTCTTTCACAGCACAGAGAACCATCTGGGATGCCAGGATTACATATGAGTTGTTCATATTCAAGGCAAGTGCCCTACCTGATGTACTATATGTCCAGCCCCGTTATGTACCAAATTTAAAGATATCTTTCCAATCAAATATATATTTATCAAGAGAATAAATCCAATGAAAAAGAATCAGTAAATTCAAATAATATTCATTTTGACTTTTGGAGAGAATATAATTATTTGTCAGACATTTCATTGGAACATTATTAATAAAATAGAGTTATATTTGTGGAAGAATAAAGTGAACAAAGGACATTTTTATCACAAACTTTAATAGTGTATATGCACATACACCGTGAGTGTGGAAAGGTAGGACTACAGCTGAATCTTACGAAGACAATGTTTATGAGAAACAGCCTCATTCCTGATGCCCCATTCGCTCTCAATGGAATGACCATCTCCGAATGCAACAGCTATGTGTACCTAGGTCGAGAAGTCAACATGACAAATGACCTGGCACCCGAGCTGCGCAGGAGGAAGAGAGCGGCTTGGAACGCCTTCAAGAGCGTCGAAGAAATAGCTAAGAGGATGAAGAACCTCCAGCTCTGGGCACATCTCTTTGATTCCGTTGTTCTTCCTGCATTAACATATGCCTCAGAGACCTGGGCCCTACGCAAACAAGATGAGAATGCTATTCAGGTCTCCCAAAGAAGAATAGAAAGAGTTATGCTTGGAATATCACGTTTCACTCAAATGAGAGAAAGAATCCGGAGTTCTGACATCAGTCGATGATCAAGAATCAGGGACGCTGTCTCGTTTGCCAAGGTGTCAAAAATCAGATGGGCTGGTCACGTAATGAGATTTAAAGACGACCGCTGGACTAGAGCTGTTACCGACTGGATTCCACGGGATGTCAAAAGACCGCGTGGTCGCCCACCTACCAGATGGTCAGACTTCTTCGTCAAGATCATGAACGATCGGTTTGAGGCTCTTCATGTTCCCAGAGTGAACAGATGCCATTGGGCTACACTAGCACGCGACAGGGACAAATGGAGATGTTACTGGCACCTTCTCGAGCAAATCGATGACTAACAGGAAGTTAAGCAATCACTTAAGTGATTAAGTGATGCACATACACGACGGAATAAAATATATTGTTCAGCTAGCCAACTGATTTCCTAGTTTCTTCTTCTTCCTTCATACAGTAACTGCCTTTAATTATTGTACTGGTATCAGTTATCAAATAAAATTTGGAACATATGGAGAGATAGTACAAAGGTTAAGGCAATTGCCTTGCATGTGGCCAACCCTGGTTTCATCTCTGGCATAAAAATAGGTTCTCTGAGCACTACCAGGAGTGAGTTCTGAGCACAGAACCAGAAGTAATCCCCGGTCAGAGCTAGGTGAGGTCCAAACTCCACCCCACAGTAAAAAAAAAAATATATATATATATATATATATATAGTTTGGTCTTTGAATTACAAAACCATTTGGAACTCATAGCAGAGAAAATCTTGAAAACCAAGACAGTTTTAATTTCAGGAGTCAGGTATCTCACAACACAAAAGATTAAACTTTGACAGAGACTAGGGTCAAACTGTGTACAATAAATTATACATTCAGAACTAATGAAATATTCAAATTTCCCTATGTTTATAGCTTACATAAATATTGCATGTGCTAAACAGAACCCCTGAGTTCCTGAAAGGGGTTCTGGTATCATTTCATCCCAGAATAATAAAAATCCTCAGGCAGATTTCGGGTGATCCAAGAGCAGAGAACTGTGATTCACTTTGAGGGTTAAGTCTGAGAAAAGCAAGTTTCATAGTGAATATTGAATATTTTCTTTCTTTTACATTAAATGTTTGGAGTTAAAAATGGCTGAATCCATATAGAGAAACAGTGCCTGTGAGCGTAGAGCACTGAGGGTCAATTAAGGCAGCTCTAAATTTCCTTTGCCATCCAGAAGGGTTATAGAAATGTCTAAAATATCTATTTTCCTCCTCCATAAAGTGGCATCCCACAATTCTCAATGTCTCTTACCACTAATCATCTCTCATCTTCATAACCTTTGGCCAACCCTGGGGCAAAGGAAGGAAGGAAAAATCACCAAAATGGTTGAAACTGAAATCTGAATTGCCTGAGGTGAAAAAACTTAATACACACACCAAAAATGATTTACCATCATTCACCTGGAAGTGAAGAAATGAAATTTGCTGTCAGGTGCCTACACAGGACCTTGAAATAGAGATTGATATATTACAGAAACATTTTGAGCAGAACCGAATATGTTGCCTTAGCAAATTTTGCTATATACAGAAAGTACTTGAGGATACACAATGGATGTTCCAATCATCCCCCTTGCTCTTGTAATTGCCCGAGCTATGCCTCTCTATAAAATTCTCTCACTTCATGTTTGACCCTATCAAAATTCTCACTTACCTCTGCTCTGGAGCATTTGCTGAAAAGCGAACATCATAATATGTTGAAAGTAATTCACACCAATTTACGATAAGGTTGAATTTGGAATGAAAAGAGAATGGTGGATTTCAGAGCAGTAGGTCAACATACTTTGGAAACCCAAGTGGAAATATATGTAACCAGTGTTACACTTTATATATTTTTATTTTCTAAGCATACCCCCCCATACTCAAATCATCATATCAGCATAACCCTAATTAGCACTGGGTTTCTACCCATGGAGATGACTTTTTTATACCCATAAATGACAAGTCTATTTACATATTTATTGATGTGGGTATGTTAATACGACAAAGTGGGAGAACTAAGGTTTGAACAGTCAACAGCGCAAGAAAGAAGCTATGTGCTATGACACTTGTGATTTTGATGCTGTCTACTACTATGTGAAGAGGTAGGTTGTTTTCAAGCTGAGCAAGTTAATGAGAGACCAATTATATTCAAAGGATCTGAGGAATAATAAGAAGAAATAGCTAGAGGCTAGAGTGATAGCACAGCAGGAAGACGTTTGCCTTGCATGTGGCCGACCTGGGTTCGATTCCCAGCATCCCATATGGTCCCCTGAGCACCGCCAGGAGTAATTCCTGAGTGAAGAGCCAGGAGTAACCCCTGTGCAAAGCCAGGTGTGACCCAAAAATAAAAAAGAAGAAACAGCTAAATAAATCTTTCTGTACTATCAAGAAAATATATATATATATATTGATTTTTTTTCTCTTAGAAAACAGTACTCCTTAATCCCAGACTTACAGAGACCAATTTTGTTGTTGAATTTTTAAAGCATTGAGAGTAGATTACATGGGTTCCTTTCCTCCCATTCTAGTCCCAGACATTTGAGGGGGATGTTGCTGAATTGCTATCTGATTCCAAAATTTCTACAGAACTCTACTGGAATGGCAGGATTAAACAATTATTAGTAAAATCTGTGAATTGTGAATGATATATTTCCAGAAGATATACAACCATCATTTATGAACTGCTCTTCTGTCATCAACATCTCTTATAATAATCTCAGGTGTTGGGTAGATATTAAGATTCAAAAGTACAGTAACAGAAACCAGTGCAGTAAATAAATGATGTAGAATTAAACATCTGGGACCAGCATCTTGTAGCTATCTGATTTTGGTGAGTTATTGTCACATTCTTTTTGCCAAGTACTGAAAGTGTAAAATGGTAAAATAATACTTCATCTGATTGATGCAGAAATAAATGTAGCCTTTGATCTAGAACTAGGCATACAACAGAGGGACGAATTTCTTTTACTTGGATGGGAATGCTGAAATAAATTCGTAAATAGTTCTTTGGTGCTTGCTATATAATCAAATTAAAAAATTTTATTGAAATCACTGGACAAATGAGTTAACAAATGAATAATATAATGAAGGAAGTGCTCTAATTATATTGTATTAGAATGTCATTGATAATTTTTTTGTCATTTTTGGCTAATTTTTGTTCTTTTCTTAATTACTTATATATAACAGAAGTTACACCCAGTCTTCTGAGGTCATAATTTCCTTGAGATATTATATGTGGTTTTTAACCTAAAGAATTTTCACAAGCAAAAGCTGAGATTGTTTTGGTAACTATTGTTTCACAATCTCTTCCAAATGATGCTCAAAAATACATTGCTAAATTCTATTAATATCTTGTATGTATTTCTAAACTATGAAATATTTTTAAGAAAAAGTCCTAATAATAACAGCTATTTTGTAGTCCAAATATCTTCAGGAGTGAGCACAGAGCCATGAGTATTCCCTGAACACATCCAAAAGTGTTTCCAAAACTAAAAATCTTAAAAAATTACTTTACTCGAGGTTTATGTCTTATTAGGTACAGAAGTTAATTCAAGGTTTACAAATAATTGATATGATAAAATCTTATACATAAAGAATATGTATATATATATTTTTAAAAATAGAATGTGTACAGATGGCAATACTCATAAATTAATATTAATTTCAGGCAAGTTTTAGTGCATTACTTTGTAAATGAAAAATGCTATTGTGAAGTGTGTATAATTTTAAAAAAGTGCTACATATGAAACAAGATATGAGTTGAATATGTTGGTAATAAGACTGGAAAACAAGACACTGTCTACTACAGTC